GTGTTGTGTTTTACAGATTCTGATGAATAAGTTGAACATATGTTAAATATGTTTACATTTTGCACATTTTTGCACTACCTCTTAAATCCAGACACTGTTGACAGTCTAGTGTTCCTGACACAAAAAATGTAAAAGTTTGACAAATTGTGTGCAATTTCTAGTTGTATACTTTTATATTTAGCACATTTAATCTACCTCTTAAAGCCAGATGATGTAGACAGACTTGTCTTTCTAGAAAAGAAAAAACTGTAATTGTGTTACTTACAAATTATGTTCACAACAGTTTTATGTTTACTTGCACTGCACATTTACTCTAATTTACCTTCTTTTGTCACAACTTTTAGTTTTTAATTTATTTTAGTAAGTTGTCTTAATTTTTAAACTAATGGACCCTAAAATTTTTGTGGCTTCATACTTGGGATACTCTTTGAAAGCTAGCAGCATTAACAGTTTATATATTGAAAAATATATCGTTATCGATCAATATGGGAAAAAAATTATCGAGATTACATTTTTGCCATATCGCCCAGCCCTACATGGCATTACTGTGACATCGCCTTGATGTTGCTATGGCAACCTTACACATGGGCTTTGTCCTGCTTTCTTGTAAAACCAGCTGTAGTTTTGCTTCAGCCAGTGTTTTTGTGGTTGAGTGATACATTTCTGTGGGTGTGTTGGTGCATTAGAAGCCTTTGCGAATCAGTCTGTAGACACTGAGAAGGTACCGACGCAGCCGTCTTAAATTGCTGCCGGATTGAGCTGAGGCACTTAGTTGGCAGTGGCTGCCTACATATTAATCAGTGTCTATGTCTGTCACAGTAATAATTTCTATTTTGTTATGTTTACATGCTCAGACCTTGTACTTGTTTTGAGACATTGTGCCACTGGCAGTTATTGCATTATGCCTACATTTCTTCACTGTTAAATCAAGGTTGTTGACTCTCTGCTAGAGGAAAGAGACAGTCGCTCTCAGGCTCAATTACTCTTTTATACTGTCCCAAATAGAACCTCTGCCTTTTTCATGTCAGGGCCAGTCTTGGCCAAAAAAGACTCTCTCTCTCTCTCTCCTCTAAAAAAATTACTTTCCTATATAGTTTGTGCATATACACTGAAAATACTAATGTGTTTTTCAGTGAACGTATTTGGTTATTAGATTGTACTCCGATGCAACAGTAGACACATCAGCTGTGCACGGGGCTGCAACCAGTCAGGATGTGCCAGTCTGGCCATCCTGTGACCTGTAGCTGGTCACTCACAGCTAAAACAGTCTGTTTAAATCCCAGCAGCACTTAAGTTAAATGTGAAGTCTTTTTCTGCTGCTGATGTTTGTCTCCACGGCACCTCTTCGAGGTCATGCGATAGTTTGTCAGTCTGGATGATCTGAGTTTGGTTCTGTCACTTGTCTTTTGTGAACGGAGTCTGTAGTTGACACTAAACTGTGTCGCTGTGAACTATCCACGTCAAATACGTGGTTGAACAAAACACAAACATTTGCAGGTGCTAGTTGTGCAGCGGAGCGCGCACTGTTTGAGTTGACATTGTGAATCAATCACACCTTAAATTTTATTGCAATTTAAAGCGTTCCATTTTGCAAGACGTATACTTTACTGATGGCTGGATCTTCAAGCACTCACAATAGTACAACATTATATGACTTTCAACCAAATTATGCCAGTAGGCCTATTCTTTTTTCGTCTCTTGGAGATAAAAAAAAAGTAGTGGAGCACCGTTCCAGCAGCACTACACCTATAGTTAATAGGTCTCTTATTACATTATCAAAATGTTCCCAGCCCACGTATTTTTTTTTCCACCAAAATATCAGGTCTTCCAGCATAAACTCTCATGGGTCTTGGTTAAGAGAGAGCAAAACTGAAAAATGACACCAGAGCAAAATTCAAGGTGGAGTTGAACTCAAGCCACTTGAGAGACAAAGCTGCGGTGCATGCCTCTGCCACCCTCGCCACTTGCTTTTCTAACATACAAGTAGGCTATGAAACAGTAGTCAGTATGTTAAGGCAGCGCAGTGATACCTGACTGTTAAACCCTAGTTCTGCCTCTTGTGTTTTAATGAAGCTGTACTGACAGTGTCGTTTCACAAAGTCCACATACGTGCAGGGTTATGACAGCAGCTGTGTGATGCATCAGGTTTCAAATGAATGTTCACAAAAAAATGTTTCTCTTCATTCCAGCGGCCTTTACTAATTATTATTTTGTAACGCAACTGAAGCATGTTAACCATGTTTAATAGATGTTTGACTAGAAATGTGAAATCCAGTGTAACAGCTAATTTATGTTGGGTGCAGTTCCTGTATTCTAAGCATTATGGTCAGACAGCTGTATTGTATAAACCATGGCCTAAACAAAAACACCACTCTGCAGTGTGAATACAGTACTTCAGGCAGTCGCGCTCTGGACTTGTGTTTTTGAGAACAAAATGCCATCTAATTGTCAAGGTCAAAGTGTTTGTCATAGTTAGGAAACGTGTTTCCCTGTACAATGAAATTCTTACTTTGCTGTCCACATGAATGCCACACAATACAAGTGAAATATAAAGTAGATGAGCAATAACACAAATCTAAATAGGCAGTAACACAAATCTAAGGCACTTTAAAGCAGCAAGTGAAGGAAGGCCACACTGCAAATCAAGGAATAGCTCTTTAATAGGCATGTTAACTGGAATGTAGACCTGCCTTATCAGGCAACAGGACTCGGGGGGGGGGGGGGGGGGGCAGCGCGGTCACAGGTTGAAAGCTGAAAGCCATTCAGCTGGCATGTTCAATTGTGAATGGCCACATCTGTACATGTCTACAGACATTTCTTATTGTTGTCTGTTGGTGGGATGAGGTCAGTGTGAAGCATTTTGGAGGTTGGGACAGTGGCGGGATGTTTTGAATATCAGCAGAAATGTTCTGCACGTGTCTTTGTACCTGGTACAGACCTTCATTTTATGTCATCTATTGAAGTTACATACACACAGCCTAACATTTAATAAAGAAATGCACACAAAAAGTGGACTACTTTGAGTCCTTACTGTGTATATATGAAGGACGTATGTGTCACCTGACAGCTCACAGAGGAGAAGCGAGCGTTGGACGAGGAGGAGAGGAAGGCCAGTGAGGAGTACATCCACAGGCTGTTGGCTGAGGAGGAGCAGGAACTGCAGGAGGACAGGAAGAGGAGAGAGGACGATGAGAGGCTGGCCAGAATGCTCAGCAACCAGCTGGTCAGTGTTTCTGATGACATCACACTGACACCATTTTGTATGAGTGAAGACACTATAGCAGTAATGGCTGACGGCATTTCAATTAAACATTTAATTCATTAACGACTCTTTGTTACAGTTTAATCCTGTTTCTTTTACATATTAGTGTGGCCTTCGTTGTTCAGTTTCTGACTCTGATCCTTATTCTTGCAAGTTTTAATCACTCTGTCCTCTCTCTTCTTCTTTCATGTCATTCTCATCCTGCAGAACTCTGCTCCAGTCTCCCAGGAAAACCTCCGTCCTGCTGGCATTACTCCTGCCAAGAAGAAAGTTGGCTCGGGTCAGATTGACAAGTAGGTTGACCCCAACCCTGAAGCAGGTTCACTGATTCTATTCAACTTTAGTTTGCCTTGACAAAGAGTCATATTAATGATCAAAGGATTTCACTTGTGCAGTAGACGAGGTCCTACTCTTTGCCTTCAGAGGGCAGCACTGCTCTTACTGACACTTTAACGTCACTTCAAGTTGTTTCTGGACAAACTCAGTAAATCCATACAAAAGTTACAGAATTGTATAGTACTTGAATCATGTAGCACTGCAACAACTGATAAGATTGATAAAAATTGTTGGTAACGTATTTAGTTATCAGTTAGTTGGGTCTCGTCATGTAGCTGTGTGCGATGGCTAAGAGCAGGCACAGCTGTGTCAGCGACCGTGTGAGTGCTGCTGCTCCACGCTCCAGTTTGGTAGGTAATGCACCTGCAAGTTGGTTTGCCAGCCGCCAGTCAAAAGAAGGCGACGACTGGGTGAGAATGCCAGTGAGGCTAATCAAACATCTGACAAATGGCAGAAGTTACAGCAGAGAGCAGTTGAACACCAAGTCATCTAAAGTTTAGGAGCACTTTATTTTACGACGGGAAAGAAAACATTGTGGTGCCAGCAATGCACAACCTATCTGTTGTGGCAGGGGAGCGTGACGCCAGTTCATTAGCATCTAAAGAAAAGACACGTTGGATTTAATGTTGTGGAAGAAGGGGAGCTCAACTTTAAGTTAGTCGTTAGTTCTAGTTAATAATGTAAGAAATTCTGAAACAAAAATTAGGATGTACCTGATGTTTAACCATGAGTGGTAGAAGTTGGGTTTGTACTGGCCCTGTACATTAGTATGGTTTTATGAGCATACAGTGGGTACGGAAAGTATTCAGACCCCTTTAAATTTTTCACTCTTTGTTATATTGCAGCCATATGCTAAAATCATTTAAGTTCATTTTTTTCCTCATTAATGTACACACAGCACCCCATATTGACAGAAAAACACAGAATGTTTGACATTTTTGCAGATTTATTAAAAAAGAAAAACTGAAATATCACATGGTCATAAGTATTCAGACCCTTTGCTGTGACACTCGTATATTTAACTTAGGTGCTGTCCATTTCTTCTGATCATCCCAGAGATGGTTCTACACCTTCATTTGAGTCCAGCTGTGTTTGATTATACTGATTGGACGTGATTAGGAAAAGCCACACACCTGTCTATATAAGACCCTACAGCTCACAGTGCATGTCAGAGCAAATGAGAATCATGAGGTCAAAGGAACTGCCCGAAGAGCTCAGAGACAGAATTGTGGCAAGGCACAGATCTGGCCAAGGTTACAAAAAAATTTCTGCTGCACTTAAGGTTCCCAAGAGCACAGTGGCCTCCATAATCCTTAAATGGAAGACGTTTAGGACGACCAGAACCCTTCCTAGAGCTGGAGGCAGGCTACTAATGAGAGGTTGACGTCCTCTGATTGGTTACTTTAGTCTAACCACAGCCGGCCAGAGGTACAAGCAAACTAAGCGTCTGCTGAGGGCCACTGTGGCCACCAGGGGGCCCCCAAGAGGGCTTGAGCAATAATAATGTCATGATATAATATATAGTAGTCAAACAGTCCCAGGAGACGTGTTTCTGCACTGAGTACTTCTACTGTGAATACTTGAAGTCCTTTGGTTTCCTCATGATGACGGAGACACTGCTGAGCTCTGTAAACTCTGTCAACTCAGACAGACAGAAGTTCTTTAAGGTGCAGTTTGTTGAAACCTGTGACCCAGACTGGTGTAATGGTGGGAGGCAGATTGTGTTCAGGGTTTCAGAGACTCCAGGAAACCACCTGTTAATGACTGTGTTACTCTGATGGGTCAGGCTGTCTTCTGTAAAACCATGTCATGAAGAAGCATAGACAGGGCCAAGTCCTATATATGTGATCAGATGGAGGGGTCCTCAGAAGGATGGTAATACAACAAGCTGATGTGCTGCATAAACACAGTCCAACACAGGATGAAGGCGACTTTGTACAGTTTCTATTCAGGTTCAGTGAAAACAGAGCACAGGGATTTAGCTCATGTCCAGTGAGTGTGTGTCTATGAAGGGAAACCTTCAGTCTGACTCTGGGGAACGGGGATCATCCAGATGTGGACTTGGACATGGACCTACTGTTGACAGTGGAGCAGTTGTTTGTGCTGAACAGAATCATATGGGACAAAGTCGATTGGAGATGTCGTGGCAAGAGTGAGATACCAACTAAATTAATTCAGACAAACCATTATAATTTAAAGGATCATTTAATGTTACAATTATTCTGAGTAGAGTAGTATTTAAACAGATACTCTTGTAGTTAGGGAACAGAGAACAGAGATCGGAGGACAGAGACTTTCCTCCTGCAATGAAATGTGGAGGAATGATGTAGGAAAGAACATATGGACATTGTTGAACTTTTTAAACTTTTCATACGCCGATGCTCCTACTGTTAGACACATTCACACACTTGCATATGCCACTTGCACACTACATCAGTACATCTGTATCATCAGCTGTGGTTTGTTGCATTGTGATGTTCACCACATTAGGTAGAAATCATTTTAACAGAAAAACAAACAAGCTCACTCTTGTAAATAGTCTCTTATGTCTGTTTCATGTTTTGTTGTTGTGTTTGATGCTGACTGGGGGGATGCTGTAAAGCCTTTACCCATTATTATTATTAAAGTGTTTCCTTAAAGCAATGTTGCTTGTCAGTTTTCCCTCTGTGTCCAATTTTTAAGAATTTATTGAGATTAACATGAACATTTTGTGTGATGTTGTCATTCTACTTTAAAAGAAAACTTGCAGTTTTGTTTACAGCTCTGTATATAACCTTTTTTTTTACTCAAATTTTAAATGCAAAAAAATAAACAAAAAATAGCAAGATAAGTCCAAAAACAAAATACAAATTTTAAATGCAAAAAAAAAAAATTACAAAAAAACAAACAAATAAAATAGCAAGATAAGTCCAAAAACAAAATAAAAACATAACTAACATTCTACATGTGAAAGAAAACCTGACTCATACTTACAGTATTTTTAAATGCAAAAAATAAAAACATAACACTGTCGTGGCAAGAGTGAGATACCAACTAAATTAATTCAGACAAACCATTACAATTTAAAGGATCATTTAATATTACAATTATTCTAAATAGAGTAGCATCTGAACAGATAATCTTGTAGTTAGGGAACAGAGAACAGAAATCGGAGGACAGAGACTTTCCTCCTGCAATGAAATAGATAGAGCCTAAAGATCGTCAGAGCACCAGTCAGTCAGGTCAGGTCCTTTGTTACCAGTCCTGGGTCAGTCAGCCCCAGTCAGTCATATTTTCCCCAGCCGGCTGGGTACCTAGAAGGTACCTAGTCTACTGGTTACTGCAGCATGGTCATCTCCTCTCTACCCCTGGCTCCCTCAGGCTCACTTCTCTTTATCAGCTCAGCCACTAGCTACTTCTCAACAGCTGGACTCTGTCCCCCTTGACGTCTCTGCGACCCCCCTTCTCACTCCATTCCAGGAAGACAGGAAGGTTGACTCCCAATTTTTTTAATAAATCTGCAAAAATGTCAAACATTCTGTGTTTTTTTGTCAATATGGGGTGCTGTGTGTACATTGATGAGGAAAAAAATGAACTTAAATGATTTTAGCATATGGCTGCAATATAACAAAGAGTGAAAAATTTAAGGGGGTCTGAATACTTTCCGTACCCACTGTATAACTTAAATATATTTAAATCCTAGAGTTCTTTTTGTTAACACTGTATGGACCTGTTGTGCCTTTTATATACACTGTTTTTGAATGAATAACTTTGTTTAATAATGCACTGCATAGAAACCTTGCATAAGTATTGTTTAAAAGAGTGCATTTGTTTTTGTAATGTAGATCTACACTATATTGCCGAAAGTATTCACTCACCCATCCAAATCATTGAATTCAGGTGTTCCAACCACTTTCATGGTTACAGGTGTATATAATCAAGCACCTAGGCATGCAGACCGCTTCTACAAACATTTGTGAAAGAATGGGTCGCTCTTAGGAGCTCAGTGAACTCCAGTGTGGTACCGTGATTGGATGCCACCTTTGCAGTAAGTCTAGTTGTAAAATTTCCTTGCTACTAAATATTCCACAGTCAACTCTTAGTGGTGTTATAACAAAGTGGAGGCGATTGGGAACGACAGCAACTCAGCCACAAAGTGGTAGGCCACGTAAAATCACAGAGCGGGGTCAGCGGATGCTGAGACGCATAGTGCACAGAGGTCACAAACTTTCTGCAGAGTCAGTAGCTACAGACCTCCAAACTTCATGTGGCCTTCAGATTAGCTCAAGAACAGTGTGTAGAGGGCTTCATGGAATGGGGTTCCATGGTTGAGCAACTGCATCCAAGCCTTACATCACCAAGTGCAATGCAAAGCGTCAGATGCAGTGGTGTAAAGCACACCGTCACTGGAGTCTCGACCAGTGGAGATGTGTTCTCTGGGTGACAAATCACATTTCTCTGTCTGGCAATCCCATGGACAAGTCTGGGTTTGGCGGTTGCCAGGAGAACGGTACTTGTCTGACTGCATTGTGCCAAGTGTAAAGTTTGGTGGAGGGGGGTATTATGATGTGGGGTTGTTTTTCAGGAGTTGGGCTTGGCCCCTTAGTTCCAGTGAAAGGAACTCTTAATGCCTGAGCATACCAAGACATTTTGGACAATTTCATGCTCCCAACTTTGTGGGAACAGTTTGGGGATGGCCCCTTCCTGTTCTAACATGACTGCACACCAGTTCCATAAAGACATGAATGAGTGAGTTTGGTGTGGAAGAACTTGACTGGCCTGCACAGAGTCCTGACCTCAACCCGATAGAACACCTTTGGGATGAATTAGAGCGGAGACTGTGATCCAGGTCTTCTCATCCAACATCAGTGTCTGACCTCACAAATGCGCTTCTGGAAGAATGGTCAAAAATTCCCATTAACACACTTATAAACCTTGTGGATAGCCTTCCCAGAAGAGTTGAAGCTGTTATAGCTGCAAAGGGTGAGCCAACATCATATTAAACTCTATGTATTAAGAATCGGATGTTGCTCAAGTTCATATGCATGTGACGGCAGGTGAGCGAAGACTTTTAGCAATATAGTGTATTTTGTCATAGATTTCTGCATGTTTTTTTTTTTTTTATTCATCCAGTTAATCATAGAAACAATCGACAAAATGAATCAATTATTAAAATAATCATCAGTTGCAGCCCTAGAATCATGTTTTTACCTCTAATGTCTGGACTTCATTTTTTTTCTACGTGTAACACAGTCATATTTAGTTCGGTTTTTCTTTTAGTTGTTGTTTGTATCACATCGTAGGTGTAGGGCTGCTGGAGTGACGCTTTGCAGGTAGTTGAAGATCAGTCATCAGATAAGCATCCTGCAAGAGAACCAATTTAAAAAACAAAAAACAAAACAAAAAAAGAAACAGAATTGTTGTACTGATCACACAGGTTGGGTACAGATACCTGAGTTGTGATGTTGGCTCATTACACTGAAGAAGGCAACTGTGCTGAAATGTCTCCATTTTTCTCAGTCATTATTTTTAAGCTAAGAATAAAATTTATTTTTGAGGTATCTTTCACAGTATGATCAAGGCCCGCTGTTATTTTTGTTTGATGGACTTTTGCTGAGCGCACGTGGCACACACCTTGAGCCCAGTATTTTTTTAAGTTGTCGTATCAAAATTTAAGGTCTGTTGACATATTTATAACGTCAAATCATGCAGTGACTAACGGCAAAGAAAGCATTCTACCTTAAAAGCTGCTTGTAGCTGCCAGTAGTGTTTCATTGGCGCAGCAAATATAACTGTGTTGCTAGCCAACATTTTTGGAACAGCTACTGTATGTGCAATATGAGCCTGTATTGTGTCGCCAACAGTTTAATTCCATTACATACATCCATTTTCAAATGCTTAAACTATCTGAAAATACAAGCAGTGTTTCAGTAAAACTAAAAATCTCTCCCTTATTCTTTTTGTTATGACTGCTCATATTTGATGTCACAAAAGTAAATAAATCCTGTAAGTTATGTATTGTTGCTTTAAAAGTTAAAAAAAACAAAACATGGACCTTCTGATTAAAATAGGTTCATGATGTTGCAAGACATCTAAACCTAATCACAGACATCTTGCGTTGTCTTCAGGTTAGTTCAGGCGATAATGTGTTTTGTTTTTCAGGTTCTTGTGTCCTCGTCCATCTAAAATAGACTCCTCTGGCTGCAGCTCTGCCTCTGGCATCATGGCCAACAAGGTCGGTGTGAACAACAACAGGCGATTTACAAGTAACACATTTTAGTGTCTGTGTCAATAATCTCTGTGTTCGCTCATTAGGCTTAGTATTCAGTCTTAATTCAGGACTGTGTAGATGCCCTGGTAGCAGCAGTTATAACCTCCAGTCTTCTCGTGGGTCCTTAGTCTTAACCCCAATAATCTGAGTGATTGACAGCGACCAACTAGGGATGCAACAGTACCCAAAAGTCACGGTGCAATACTGCCATGATAAAAAGTCTGCGATTCGATAACCTATTTATCACAGAATTTAAAAAATTGAAGAAAAAAGATGAAAAAATAATCTTGACTAAATAAGTTGGTGTTTTTTGTGTTGTTTGTTTTGACTTAGTGATGTTGCTTTCCTTCCTGATTTAAAATAAAAGTAGCAAGCCATGACCTAAGCATGTGCAAAAACCTTGCATTAATTGTCATGGGAACTGAGGGACTGAGTTGTTTGTACAGTTTGTACAAAAGAAAGACAATGCAGCAGTCAGATGCAATCTTTTTATGAAGTAAATTTTTGCAGCAGCCAGTTCTTGTAAACAAAACAAGTCAGACTCACAGTGGAACATCAGGCTTTTAGTGCCCCCTACGCAGGTTTAACTTTGTCTGGTGGCCGTGTCAACTGGTGGTCAGGTTCTCAGTACTGCACTGGGGCCAGTAGTGATCAAAGTGCTGCGTGGTGCACCGTGACGAGGAGAAGACACCAAACTACGCTAGGACAAGCTATGTAATGGTGACATTTGACTTTATTGGAGGTGTCTTTCTAAACTCTGTCCATTCAGATCAGTTTTCCACAGGTGGACTCTGGTCACATTCTAGACACATTTAAAACTGGGTGCACCTGAACACAGTCTGGAGCCACAGCGATGAGTCTGGCGACTTTTGTAATGATTTAAATTTTTCACTTTTAATATATTTGCAGAATTTTCTAAAGGCATGATTTCATTTGTGAGTGTAGCAAAATGGTAAATTTATCACTTTGAATCTAGGTTACAGCCCAAAGTGTGCAAAAAATGGAGGAGTCTCCATGCTTGCTGAGGTCACTTCACCGTAGGATGAGCCAAATCATTCTCTCTACAAAATCAGGCAAACATTTATTAAACCTGATTCCCTAGGCGACAGCAAAACAAAGCTGTGATAGAAAACAACAGCTCATATTTTTTATGTTTTTATTTTTATTTTTTCTGGGAAACATGCAGCCAGATGTTGTGACACTCAGTCAACTGATGCAGTACTTATGGGGTGTGCAGCTCAGAGCTAATTTGCAGCCCCCTGTCTCTGATCAGGCTTTAAAGAACAGGTTCAAACATCCAAGAACAAATAGCTTAACAAACTAAGCCAGCTTACACCAGGACAGATTTAACCAAGTGTAACAGAGTGGCCCACACTGTTCACATCCTTGTTGTTGCTGTAGTTTAAGCCACTGCTTTGCTTTTCTAGAAAGGACTGTGAATTCTGACTGATGTTAAATGTATAGGTGAAGTGTTGCATAGCTGTGAGTGTCTCACTGAGAAACCGGATTGACCAGAAGTGGTTCTGCACCTTGGATCTCTGCTCTTCCCATTCACTCCCCTCTAGTCTTGACACCCGTGCTATTACATCTTTCAATCAGCTGACGTATTACATCAGGGGCACTTAAATATTGTTTTGGATAAATGAACACTTTAGAAAAATTTTCAAAAGTTAGCAAATTATGTTTTTGAATAATTTGACAATGATGCCATTTAACTGGTTTCTGATCCTTTAAGGTTTTTGTGTATGACATTATAGGATCGATTGCCACTTGTCGCAACTTCAGTGGCATTTACAACATTTGCACATATGATTAAACATTGAGGGCATGAGGCCTGATGCCAAACATGCTAGGAAAACTACTAAAGGTTCATCAGTCAAGGTCATGATGAGCTGCTGTCAAACAGAGCAGGGAACAGAGCACAACCTCCCACACAAATCATAAAGGGACAATAGACGGACTTGGTTGTCACCTACAGACAGTTCAGTACAATCGAATTTAAAACTCAGTTGTGGTTTTTACTTTTCAATTTTGCATTCAGATTACGCAAACCAGATGTGACATGCAGATCTGATCTTTAGAGCAGCTGGTACCTTTGAACTGCTTTATGCTAAAATAGGATATCCGGTGGCTCATATTTAGCATACAGAAATGAAATCAACCTGAATATCTGGCTCTCAGAAGAGCATTTCACTAAATGTTGAGCTGTTCCATTAAGCTCAACATGGAGCTGACAAAATGTTTATTTCTTGTGGTTTTGAAACAAACAAATCAGTGACCTGAATCTTTTACTTGATGTTGTTTCAGGAGAACATCCACTTCTCTCAGGTGGAGTGTCCTCTCCCTAATCTAGATTACTGCAGCCATGTGACACATGGATTGGAACCTCCACCTGGCCACCCAGCCTCTGTGGAGGATCAGACTCGCAGGAGTCAACTGGCCAGAGATGGAGGATCTTCCTCAACCAAGAGGAAGAGCTCGGAGCTGGAGGCAACAGAGGAGGAGGAGCAGCAGGTGATAACCACTAAACGAGGTTGTCATTCCCTACCCTCCTCCTCCTGCTCTTTAGAGGAGGCAGAGCTGTTGACCCTGCAGGGTATGGCTGAGTGGCAGGCAGAGCTGCTGAGCAGGCGCCAGCAGGAGGAAGAGGACTGTCGACTTGCTCAGCTCCTGCAGAAGGAGCTGAACCAGGAGGAGAAACAGAGAGCCACTGACAGACGCAAAGGATCTGGTGATGCATACCTGCTTCGCCAGAGCAAAGAAGGGAAGGTGGAGACCAGCACCACCACTAGGGCCTCCAGGAAGACTACAAAGATCTCCTCCTGCACCTCCTCAGCACCCTCTGCCTCATCTTTATTAAAGAGTACAAGGACCTCCTCACCCTCCCCCAGCTCCTCCAACAGAGGCGGTAAGCAGACCACCCTGACTGAGATGTTCTCCAGTCTGAGCAGCTGAATCCTCTCGCTCTCTTTCTGCGCTGTGTTAACTGGTGGTAGAGAGACACTGGGACAGTGTTCTGTTTTTAGGTTCAGATTATAAATTTAACAGTTTTTACAACAGGAGTTAAATGTGGAAAATGGAGTTTAAATACACAGAGCATTCTGAATGGTAGTTTAATCCACACTGCTGTTGTGCAGACATCATGAAGAGTTCAGAAAAACTCAACTTTGTTAGCAACTGTAATTGTAAAAAAAAAATAAAAGACAAACAGTTCAGTAAAAAATTTATTTCTGTCATGTACCATAAAGATGAAAACAGTCGCAATACTGATCCCCCCGACAGAATCAGTAAAAATAAAGACTCAAAGACTTAGTGATTAAACCCTAAACTCATTTGTCTGTTGCTCATAATGCAAACACAACATATTTACACCCGGCTGCAGATAAAGCGAAGAACCTGTGGACAAAAGCTGAAGGTGAAGATGAGATGCTTCCTGTAGACCTGGCTGTATGAATGTCATCAACCTGAAAATAGTTCAATCAGCGGAGATGAAGATGAGAGGAGGACGATGACAAACTGATCAAATATTGACAGTTTAAATGTTTCCTAATAGACATCACATCACAAAGATCATCGTGTTAATGATGAAAGTATTAAAAATGAACAGCAGCCTGGATACACCATGTTTGGATCACCCTGCAGTGTGATGGGCTGTCTTGTCAATCTGCAGTCATTTGCTCTGCGATCATCTGCTCTCCAGTCATTTCATCTGTAATTATTGAATTTCAGACTGAATATAAAGGCTTATTCATAATGTTTTGTTGAGCTGATGGCGTCGTTACCACCTCAGTTGTCATGTTTGAGACGTTTCCATGTTAAACAGGTGAACGTAATCGCATGCCAGGGGGCAGATTCAAACTCAGGGAAACTGTTAAAGACAGGAAAAACTGGTGGTTTTACTTTGTGTAGAATGTTCATCTCTGGAGATTCATAATGAGACATTGTTTTTCAAATTTAACATTTACGTGCACATTTCATTGAGATTAAAAACCTTTTCTACAGTAGTGTCCTGGTACCGGTCAGCGATTAATCCACAACGATCATCATTGCACACTGAAATAACAATCAGTCATAATCAGTCTGCAGAATAAATGTGATCAGAAAAAGGCTTTTTAAACTAAATATCTGAAATGTCATTTAATGAGACAAAGAAACGAAATGATTGACTTTTTTGCAGACTGTGTATTGATCACAGCGTGTTAAACTCATTCCGTGTGTAGGTTCAGGTTGATTTACATTAATCACAGGGGTTTCATCATCAAATCCCAGAATGCTTTGCCTCAGTCACACATTTTGACATTATGCTAATCAATCAGCCTGTCAGTAAATCCATAAATCGCATTCTTCAGGTTTCATTCTGCAGATGTCATTCATCCACTGCCTCAAAAATACAGGCTGTCATATGCCCGTCAGGTTAAAATCAGGTGAGCTCATTCACACTGAGCTGTAAACATCTGATCTGAATTCTACACTGTGAATCATTGTAATGTGGTTTATCTTAAAACTAGTTTTTCTGCTGCTTTAGAAACTGAATTAATGGCACTAAAGTTAAATAATGTGTTCAAAGTTATGTCTGTCGTTAAAACAGAAAACCAGCTGAGTTAGTTAAATATCTAGTTTTAGTAAACTAAATGTATAAATTTGGATCTGCATCTGTTGAGTGACAGGTTCATTTAACATTTGTTCCACTTTAAAGAGCTTGGTCTAATCTGGGGACAAACTGGAGTCCAGTCTGCTTCAGACACGGTGGGTGAGACCAAACCAATGAACAACACACTGGAATATTCTCCCTTTAAAGTAGTGCCTTTTTCGTCATAACAAAAGGTTTGATACAAAAACATCACACAGATGAGTGTGACAGATTCTTTTTAAATATAAAAACACTACAATGGATTCAGGTTAGTTTTTTTTCCCCACACAGAAGAATTTATAATTTTTTTTAATCGTTCTGCTACACAACTTTGACTTAAAAACCCTTTTACATTGGTCTCAAAAAAAAAGAATAGAAAGACAACACCTGCTACACCTGTATGGCCACACCTCTCCGTACTCTGATTGGGCAGCAGGGTGCTACCTGCACCAGTTTCTGTGGATTGATGAAAGATTTTGGTGATTTTTGTGAAACCATGAATAAAAACATTCTTCAGACTCAGAACTTGAAATAGTTGAAAATAAGAAAATCAAACGGTTCAGCTGTGCAGTTTTTTTCCTCAGCTTTCAGGTTATGTGACAGCATATGTAATGTGTATAAAACTGTTCATAAAGTTTATTTTTCAAAGACAAAATTCCTTAATGTCACCTTCATTTTTTATGATTAGTGCATTCACTGATTAGTGGGCAGTTTTAAATGTAAATGTTTTATGGAAGATTTAACTGGTAACCGTTTGTGAATTGATATTTCTTGCATTTCTTTGTTTCTCTTTGAGTTTTTTCTTGATTTGTTTCTGTCTTTGTTTCAGTTCAGACTTGATTCGTGACACCATGTGTCAGTGAGGATTTGAGATGTCAAGAAGCAGAGATGCTGAATGAGGCTCGAGAGTTTAAATTTAAAAAGTGAAATTCACTCTGCTGTTGTCAATGTATTTTAACAGTTCCATTTAATTTTTGTGAATGTGGAAATGCTGACAGCTGTCAGTGTTAACATAGGGAGATAATGGCGATTTTCTGCCTTGGATTAAACTTTGCTGACTCTAAAGCCAACTGACAACTGGAAACAGTCAGAGGATCAATTGGCCATACACGGTTTTCTTTAATCAGTGTGGTTGACTTGGCCTGGTGGCTGCTTCATCATCATTGCTGTCTTGCTTCAGATGGCGGTGTCCCAGAACACCGTGGTAGTCTGTCCGGTGGCGATGGGCGGGGCCGAATATGGTGGTGGCTGTTTCCGTTTCCAGCTGGGCAGGATGGGCATACTGTCCTGTTTACACAGGTTCTTCTCTGGCCGCTGGTGAGCTTTGATCTCTCCACACAAAACTCTTTTCTTCTCAATCATCTCCATCATGGTGGCATCTTCACAGAGCCACGGCATCTGGAGATGAACAACAGCTCATCAGCCGGTCACTCAATGGCCACTTACTATGTTTGTTACTCAGGGGCCAGTTTACTGTGTGTCACCCGTTGTGGTCATTAGCAGCTAGCAATGTTAGAGGTAAAAGTTTAAATAATATAAATATAGAATTACATTTTAATCAGATGTTTTCTGTTGTAAAAAGTAATTGATGTTAAAAAGATTTCAATAGACTAAAATTATAAAAGTGAGACATTCTGACTGAAATTAATAAACGTATGTTAGAGAAGTGAGCTTGTGGATTAGCAGGTCCTCGGTTCATTCCCCAGAACGGCAGGATTAAATCTGGGTGGGACAGGTACAAAGCAGCACTTGACCTGCTCTGAACACCACCACTGTGGTGCCCTTAACCCAGCTGCTCCAGTGGAGCTGCTCAGTGGCCAGTGAGGTTGTGCTGGGTGACTTCCAGGTGTGAATGCGTAACTGAGAGAATGTGAACGGGACGCCTCTGGAATAGAGAGGTGGCTTGTCAGTGGACCTACTCTGAATAGATAAAGGTTTACAACAAATAATACAGCGATGATTGAATATTAAGTTATTAATGAATCATTTTAAAATGTGTGGAAGTGAATTTTGTAGGTGTTTTCAATTTGTAGTCTGGTGTTTTACTGTGGAGCAAAAACACCTCAGTCAGACAGGTAGACAGACAGTTAAACAAGTAGACAGACAGTTAAACAGGTAGACAGACAGGTGAATAGGTAGTCCAATGGGAGGAGAGACTAAAGTTTATTCTTCACGCTCAGACTCAATGTGATGCCTGTGTCACACTGGTTTCATTAACATGGAATTATCCATTTTAAGGGTTTTCACACTGAAGTTTCAATTTAAATTTTTAACCCTAAATTTGGTGAGATTAAATAACTATCAGAGCTTCATTAGGAAACATTTACAGCTGAAGTTGCAAATGATATTTTTATTATGATCAGAGAAAGACCAAACCAACAGTTGTTTTTCATTTTAAAAAGTACCTCAGCAAATAGCAAAGTTATTAAAAATGAAAAAGAATTGTGAAAAGTAAAGTTTGTTAGAGAATCATGGTCATCAGACGAGGGCAATATGAGGCAGGCCTATAGAGAGCTGAAGTGAAACCAGATGTTCTGGGTCTTGTTCCAGAAGTCGGAAAACCTTATTCAAAATCCCACTGACATTTGTGTCTGTGTGTGTGTGTGTGTATATAAAAGTCCTGGATAGGAGCAGTGTTTTCTCAACAGTTGGCTTCACATCTTTGGATAAGGACAATATTTCCTGAAAAACAGTCAAACAGCTTTCCCTATTAGATGTTTGTGAAGAGGTGAGTTCATGGGTGACCGGAGGTTTTACTGAGTTGAGAGATGTCTGTGGTAACACTGTCTGTGGTTAGTTAATTGTCTGTTCATATGTCAGTAGTTTGTTCATGTGCCTGTACTAACAGCAGGACAGAAAGTGAACACTGCAGAAGTTTTCAGACAGCAGAGATAAAAACTACAGAGTTGAGAAAATGTCTTTAGAATAGTATCTGTGAGTCAGTCAGTTGTTGGTGAGTCAGTCAACTGACTCTGTCCTGCACACCTGCTCCTCATTTCCACAGTATCTGTATATACCAGCTCCTTTGCCAGATTGTCTATCATCACACCCCAGCCACACCGTTTGGACTTGGACATCAGATGACCTATTTATTATCAACCTGTGTTTGTTCTCTGCCTGATTTTGCTTGCTGGCTTTCAGAAAGCCAGTCCCTTACCCAAGGGACCTGCCTACCTGACCTTTGCATTGGGGTCCTACCCGCCTGTTGGTTTCCCTTATTGGAAGGCTGACAGAAATTGACCCAGATATGGTGTTAAGACATCAGCTCCCTGTAGTCTGATGGGACTCGGGATTAAACTTTAATGGGGGAGGTTAGGTTAGGGTTTCTTTAAATGTATGAGTCTTTAACTGGGCAGGGTTGGGTTAGATTTGGGTGAGATCCATGTTTATTCCATAAATGAATACATTTTAATGAGATTTCATCTGTTAGTTTTGGTGTGAGTTCAATCCCTGTTAGTTTAATGTTAATCTTAGTTTGATGTTAGTAGCAATAATGAAACTCATCTCACTATGAAAGTATTACAACATTGTTAAATGCTTTAAGATTGCTGTTAGTGTTATTGAGAGTTTATGTTAAGACAAACTACATAAACAACCATCTAATATTTTACAGGAAATTAAAATCACAGTGTCCTTTGATCAAACACCTTAAACATGTTTACTTGTTTACATGTTAGGGTGGCATGGTGAAGCAGTGGTTAGCACTGTCGCCGCACAGCAAGAAGGTTCCAGGTTTGAATCTGGTGGCCGACCAGGGCCTTTCTGTGTGTGCCCTTTCTTTTGGGTACTCCGGCATCCTCCCACAGTCCAAAGACATGCAGGTGAGGTTGACTGGTGAGTCTAAACTGCCCATAGCTGTGAATGTGAGAGTGAGCGGTGTGTCTGTCTCTGTGTTTCAACCCTTTGATAGACTGGTGACCTGTCCAGTGTACCCCATATCTCACCCGGTGTCAGCTGGGATTGGCTCCAGCCCCCCCATGGCCCTTTAAGTGCAGATAATGGATGGATGTGTACATGTTTACAGTTCAGATGTCAGTCAGCTGATGGGTCGAAGCTTCTGTTGTCTGTAAAATATTTTAGGTTCTGCTCAGCGAAGCTGAATCCTGTGTGAAATACAAAGTTTCCATTTAATTTGATATTTATAATTAAATTCCTGCTTTTATCTCAAGGAGTTGGGTTCCTAAAAGAACAGAATGATGGTAGACATATTTATACAAGACATACAGATAGACAGGTAAACAAGTAAAATGGACAGCAGTTTCATAGGTGTTGTACCTGGCTGAGGGCAGGGTGATTCATCTCATGCAGGTGACGTGGTGGTGTCCCACCAGGCAAAGGAACTCCTGATGTTGACACTGAACGGCCAAGTTTGCAAAAAGTCTTTGAGTCTGCGGGTAAAAGAGACATTATTAGAAGACACCTGATGCTAACCCATAGTATACTGGTTGTTCTTTTGATTTCCCCCCGTGTTCAGTAACTGGTATAGCCTTGCAAACTAATTCTGTTCTATCATTGTAGATTGCTCAGCTAATTTAGTTAGTTTAG